TCTCTTTTTTTTTTTTTTTTGTACCAGGGATCAAACTCGGGACCTTGTGGTTGTGAGGAAGGTAGCAGAACCACCGAGGCAAATCCCCGGCCCTGTGGTTCTTTTTTAACATTAAAATGTGGCCTGTCCTTAGAAACACCCCCAGAGCTACAGTGGGTGTGAATTCATTTATTCCCAAGATACCAGGACATGTGTTAGTCAGAATGTTTTACCTTGGGTCTCAAATGTGGTCCATTTATTGAAAGTAGCCATTTTCTTAGTAACTGGGTAAAACTTAATGAATTCCAGAGTATAGGCCCAAGAATGTTTAGAAAATGCAGTTTGAGCTTATATTCATACTATATATTCAGAGCCATTTGCTTAAGACCAAGGAAACAGATTGTTTCCCAAAGGCTTTCTTTTTGTTTGTGATTTGAGGATGCAGCCTCTATTGAGCTAGATTTGTCATCCACTTCTAATCTTTAGTTATAAAAAAAAGTTCACTGCTAGTGTGACTTCTTCCACTCTATCTTCTTGTTTTGATGTCACACATAACCTTTCACCCATTTCAAAAAAAAAAAGGAGGGGGCAAAATCCGGGAGCCAGATATACCAGGTGGTCAGAGGAGAAAATAAAAGAAGCCAGTACTTGATTCAAAACCACGCATCCATATTGTGCCCTCCGAATCCCTTGTTGGAGATGTGTCTCAACACTCTGCCATCCTCTCCCATGGCAGAAGCACACAGATGATCACAGTGATAGATGGTCACAGCTGGTGACCTCGGCTGCCACTGCTGCCTGTGCTGCTCCCCTAGAAGGTGAGCCCTTGTCACCCAGAAGCCAGTTTGTGCCTGGAGTAACTTGGGTGGGATGCGTTCTTTCCCTCTAGAAGGCTGTGAGTTCCATCTGAAGAGAAACTGTCAAACCAGGCCATCCCATAGTCCCTGTGTGGGGCTGGCCACAGAGACACACATGATAAATCTTTATTGAGTTGAGATGAAAATGACTTTATAGCCATGAAACTACATGATGCAGGTAGGGCCTGTCATAAAATTTATGCCAACAGCAGGCATAGTTGGCAGTCCAGGCCAAACTGTAGGAAGGTCCACCCCTCGCCCCCACACCCCACCCCTGCCACCACCCGTTTTGATTTTTTTCTGACTGTGACCCACATGCGGGAAAGGATCAGCCCTGCTCTCTGGCTGCCGACCACCTGTTTGTTTTGGTCTTTGCATCTTTGCCTTTGATTTTGGCAGCTGTCTCTCCAGCAGTAGGCAGGAGGAGTTTGGAGAAAGTAATTGAATCGGGTCTGAAATTCTTCTTTGCAGGCTGCCCTCACCATTTAGTAAGACAGAAAAGTTTCTGACTTTATTCCAAGAAAATAAGTTAAACCTTTACATAAGCAGTAATTAAGTTGAAAAGTGAAGATAATCTTAAAAATCTTTTGGCACATAATTTATTCTTGAATATAAGCATAGATTAAGATTTTAGTTACCTAAAAACATAAGGATACTTCTGCCTTGAGAAAAGCTTTTTAGATGGCCAGCAAGAGGAAATTCACCAAATGGCTCTCCAAAATACCCTTTGAGGATTGAGACCACAATGTGACACCAGGGTTTTGTGAGAATGCCGGTCCTGTGCCCTAAGAGATCTGTTTCCAAATCAGTTATTTGTGTGGTGAATTCTTTGCCCGAGCGGGGGCCCCTTCTCAGTTTAGCAGTATGTCAGAAACACTTTAAATACTAACAGATGTTTGGGTTAATAAAAACCATGTTTATCCTCTTTCAGTTGTATCGTGCATTCTTACTGTGATTTCTTTATGGGTCCTTCGAATAAGAAGAAAACCGCAGTATTTGGCAGAGTCTGATCATTTCACATATTCCTCTGGTATCATTATTGAAGGCACAAAAGATTGAATTTGAGTTTTGCTTCAGGAAAATGAATGGCTCTTTTCAGCCTGTTATTTTGTGACTCTCATTGTAACCCTTCTTGTATTTATTGCCTTACTTTCTCCTACTTCCTTTTCCTGTGTTTCTCCTGCCACTCCCCCTACCTGGTGTGTCAGACACAGATGTGGGACATACATAGAAACAGTGTTGGGACCGGAGTAAGGACATTATACTCGGTGAAAGTGGGGAGCTGAATTCATTGTTTTCAGAGCACTCCCAGTGGCTGTAACTTCATTATTAATAGGAGGAGTGTTGTGACATTTAAGCACCTTTGTGAGACTACCACAAGTCGTCAAAGAAAGGTTAAAACGCCACATTTCTCAGAGACGAATTTTATAACATTGTTATGGTGTCTTAAATATTCTTTTTAGAATTTTTGGCAGTATGGACAATATCTGAATTTCCTCAGGAGTTTCTAAGCGTGACGTTGCCTTTTAGTAAATATAAAATATAGTATGTATACAGTTAGGATAGGCTCAAACAGAACAAAACTAAGGCTGGACTTAAAGAGTCATACCTGAAATCTCAGCACTCTGGAAGGCTGCAAATGTGTCCCTAGCCTGGGAATCTTAGTGACTTAGCAAGACCCTGTCTCAAAAAATTAAAATGATAGGGATGTAGCTCAGTGTGGAGGCCCTAGATTCCATCCCGTGTAACACAGTAGTCAGTAATGGATCTGTGGCAGTTTTATGTACATTTATGGAGCTCTCTGATGTTAGAGATGCTTAAGCAATGAACCCAACCATACTAGCTGTTTAACACATCGAGGACACCAGTAGAGGACTGAATGGCTTGTATGCGACATAGACCAAGTGGTGCCCAAGTGCGAGGACAGGAAGAATGGTCGTCAGTACTAAGACAACAGCAAGATGAGATTTTCCAGGGAGAGGCATTGGTCCCTTTCCCCGGGCAGAGTGGCCTGAGGACATGGCAGGCAGAGTGGCTGAGAAGCTGGAGCAGATCGCGGAGAAGCCTGGGTTTCGTGCTGCTGTCATCGTGCATCCTCAGCTCTGGTGGTTGAGAGCTGAAAGTCGGACTGAAGAGATGTTGACAGTTGGAAGAAATTCTTTGCAATTGTATCAGAATCTGCCCTAGAGAGTTTTTCTGATGAAGGAAATTTGTTTGAAAACATAATGTAAAAGCTTGTGTATAATTACTGTATATTTTTGTGACCTAGTTATTTGTGAACTTGTTTTCTTTAGATGTGTTTGTGATTTTTCTTACAGAAAACTTACTCCTTAGAGTTATTCTGCCTGGGTGCTCCTGATAAAAAGGGTTCTATAATGGCAAGCATATTCAGCATGACTTTGAAAGTTTCTGTCTTTCCTTATGTAGAATGTAACTACTTGATTGTGAAAGTGCTAAGCAGGTTGTTTATTGCAGTGCTGCAGAACCTAGGCCCGGTACACGGAGGCAGGTTTTACCACCAAGCTGCCCCCGGCCCCCCAGGCTGAATTTTGGGACTCTGGCATCCCTGAGCCTAACTCCTCCTCGCTCTCCTCTGCAGACATATCTTTTTCCTGCACATCAAGGAGTCCCTCCTCGCAGGCCACCTCCAGTGTTCCCCGGAGCAGGCAGTGGAACTCAGTGCCCTCTTGGCCCAGACCAAGTTTGGAGACTACAACCAGAACACTGCCAAGTACAACTATGAGGAGCTGTGTGCCAAGGAGCTCTCCAGCGCCACCTTGAACAGGTGAGGCTGCGCGAGGCTGGTGAGTGTGATTACGGAGCCCCAGGGGGAAACGAGTCTCTGTGCCTAGGGGTAATTCTACTGCCCGGTTTAACCAGTTAATTTCAAAAGATTTATTAGCCTTTTGAGAAATATATAAACACAGAATATAGACCATACAAATAAATGCCCTTACATGAAATGATATACAAAATGAGAATTTTTAAATTCTCCAATCTTTTAAAAATACACATCTCCTACAGTAAAATGTATACTAGTTTTTTCTTCATCCCGGTAAGAATTAAATCAAGAGGCCTAACACAGACATTTCAGTTATCTATTCCTATATAACAAGTCACCCCAGAAGTTAGTGGCCTAAAGTAACAAATCTCCTGTTGTGGCTGAGACTCTGCTGGGAATTGGCCAGGGCTTCCTGAGCTCCCACCTGGGACCTCCCAGGAGGCTGCTGTCAAGCTGCTAGACCTCATTCTCATCTGAAAGCTTAGGTGAGGGAGAGACCCTGGGTCTATTGTCCACCTGCTTCCCTTACCACATGAACCTTGCACGCATTCCATGATGTGGTAGCCAGCCTCCCCCAGGCTCAGTGGTCCAACTGGGAGCAAAAAAAAAAAGCCGAGAAGGAAGCTGAGGTCTTCTGAAACTTAATCCCAGAAGTGAGTCACATCCCATGACTTCTCCCAGATTCTGTTTGTTGAAGAAGGTCACTGATCCAGCCCATAAGCAAGGGAAGGAACTTACGCAGTACATGGATTACCAGGGGGTGGGGTCACCAAGGGCCACATGATAGTCCGTCCATCGCAGTAGAGCAAATAAGGCCTGTACTTCCTTCACTTACAGATGATCTAATCAGTCACTGACAGTGCTTGATTATAATTAATTTAATACATATATCTAGATAAATGTATGCAGAGTTCCAGCATATAAATTTGTTTTATGTATACTTTTTGAGATTTTTCATAATTCTTTCATCACCAGACAGCATCCCGAAAAGTGTTCTCTGTTGAATATTTGATAACCAAGACCTTGAAGAGTATCTTAGAAGTATCTTATAATAAGTTTGACAAATTAATGAGACATTAATAATATACAGTTTTATGCTTTTATGATTCGTAAATGACAATATCACTGTGCCTCACTAGTGAAAATTATGTAGATTAATCTTTCAAGTCTACAAATTAATCTCTGGGTATAACTCTGTGCACTCTTGGTGTCCTGCAGCATCGTTGCGAAGCATAAGGAGTTGGAGGGGACCAGCCAGGCCTCGGCTGAGTACCAAGTTCTGCAGCTCGTGTCGGCAATGGAAAACTACGGCATTGAGTGGCATGCCGTGAGGGACAGTGAAGGCCAGAAGCTCCTCATTGGTGTTGGGCCCGAAGGAATCTCCATCTGTAAAGATGACTTTAGCCCAATTAATAGGTAACCTTACACTTAGGTATTTTTAGCTGTAAGAATGTGTAAATATCAGTAGCTGTCACCACGAACATAGAACATGGAGAGTGGTTCACTGGACAGTTATCTCACAGGAATACCATGTTTCATTTTGGAATTTACTCAGGCCTTAGTCATTTAAATATTTTTCAAGTGCTAACTTTTAAGTGTGTACCATTGTGGCAGATTTTTCAAAAAAGTTGTTCTCTGCTGTAAAAATCTCCTTCTGATCTCTACACACTCATCTGCACACACACCCAGACTCTGTCCAGTGCTTCTCTCTGCACATACACAACTGCTTCTCAGTGTGTCTGTGGAGGGCGGCCTGGGCTAAGTGTCTGGTTCATTGCTGAGTTTTACAAAGGGAAGACGTGACCGGATGCTTCTTCCGGACTGGCTTATTTTCCTCTTCCTGTCTTTTAGGATAGCTTACCCTGTGGTGCAGATGGCCACCCAGTCAGGAAAGAACGTGTACTTGACCGTCACCAAAGAGTCTGGGAACAGCATCGTGCTCTTGTTCAAAATGATCAGCACCAGGGCAGCCAGCGGCCTCTACCGAGCAATCACCGAAACACACGCTTTCTACAGGCACGTACCTTAGTGTCAGCTCGTTAAGACTTTTAGGTGACGGGCAGATTTTTATAATTTCTTCTATCCTGATGTTGTGGTGTCTGCTTTTGAACATTTTGTTCTTGCAGCGGCAATGGAATCCAGGGAAACTGTCCAGTTTCCCCACGGAAAGTGCCTATGTACGAGCTGCACACCCACCCCTGCTTCTCTTGCCTTAGTTTCACACCGCCTACTCTCCCAAGATAACCCTGGGAAAGGGGGCATCGGATCTGTGCCACCAGCTTTGCTCTTTCCAAGCTGGGTGATACAGGTCATCTTTCCCTTCTGGGAGAGAACCTGCTCTGAATCCTCACTATCTCCATAAAGGGTTTTTATTAACACTATCAGTCTCCCTTTGCAGGGATCACATTCAAGCTGAATTGTGATTGGAGTCAGATATTTGTAAAATTAAAGCCAAGAAATTTAATTGGTAGGCAGTCTTACTTGTTTTTTAAATTTTAAAATAGACACACAGATTGTGGAACAGAATGAAAAATTTGTAGACATTTTTAACATAAAAGCTAAGACTTCAAAGACTTCTGTTTTTTCTTCTTCTCCATAAGCTGCTTAGGCGTGCAGCTCTACCCTGGAGAAGGATCTAGATGTTCTCTGCCCCCGTATTTACACTGGTCATTGCAGGTGCTTTGCAGGCCCTTGAGAACAAGAGCCCTTTAATACACATGGAGCGGAGGAATGCTCCCTGGGGCCTGCACACAGGAGCATGAGGGGGTGTGCTGACCAAATACGTGGGTGTTCTCGCTGAGGCAGGGTCTGCAGGTCTGATTTACAGAGTTCCCCGCTCTTCGCTATTAAAGCAGGTGCGTAAACTTTCCACACAGGTGTGACACGGTGACCAGCGCCGTCATGATGCAATATAGTCGTGATTTAAAGGGCCACTTGGCTTCTCTCTTTCTGAATGAGAACATCAACCTTGGCAAGAAGTATGTCTTTGATATTAAAAGAACGTCAAAGGAGGTGTATGACCACGCCCGGAGGGCTCTGTACAATGCTGGTGTGCTGGACCTCGTCTCGAGGAGTGGCCAGAGCCCTCCTGGCTCCCCACTCAAGTCCTCCGGGAGCAGCATGAACTGCAGAAGCTGTGAGGGCCTGAGCTGCCAGCAGACCCGGGCGCTGCAGGAGAAGCTGCGCAAGCTGAAGGAAGCCATGCTGTGCATGGTGTGCTGCGAGGAGGAGATCAACTCCACCTTCTGCCCTTGTGGCCATACTGTGTGCTGCAAGAGCTGCGCGGCCCAGCTGCAGGTGAGGGGCCGTCTGGCCTGCTTTCATCCTCCAGTCCGCAGTTGCTGGGTACCTGCGGTGCCAAGGCCTGGCTGGCTGATGCACAAGGAGCGCCCATCTCTACCTGGGGAGGCTTTGGGTTTAGAAACACTTTGGATTCGCGTACTGTTTTCCCAGCATAATTACTCTGAATCTTAGACGTGTTTTCCAGTTCTGGAAACAAGGTCCAGATTGATTCATAAAGTGATCTGTGTGCCACAGTTAGCAGCTAAACCCAGGCTAGAACCCAGGCCTGCTCCTGCTATCTCATGCCTCCATTCCTGACATCCAGGGGGAAGGTCTGTAGTGTTTGCCTAAGTACTGGGAAAGAATACTTCGATTTCTGGGTTTTGATGAACTCAGCTGCCATGATGGGTTGTTTACTTTATGACTAATATCTTTTTATTATTGTAAATGTCTCTAATGGCTTCTTAGATTGGTTGCTACTCATTATAAGTAAAATTAATTTTAATACAGAAAATTTAAAAATAGGGTTTTTTTCCCCCACATTTTCCTTTCCAGTACTTTTTTCATTTGGTTTCATTTCTCAGAAGTATCTGTTAATCACTATGGTTTATATAAAACTAAAGCTAACACTAAATGTCACCTAGTCCTTCAGACAATTTTAAGGCTGCTCTTAGGGCCGTAGAATGTACACACAGGACACCTCTGCCCCTCCCACAGTAGGTTGTGCTACCTCAAGGAGTGGTTTCCCTGGGGACGGGCTTGGACTTGCCTCTTTTAGCCACATATTCTGACTTCAGTCTTCCATCATGGCTAATGAAGGGCATGTGTTTACTGAGAAGCCACCAGAAAAGCAGGGCAGTTGCCTGCGAGAGGGAGCAGAGGCTTAGGCCACATGGGGGTCTGCCGTCAGCCCCCCAAGCCAACGCCACAGTCTTTGGAAAGGTCTCCTGCAAGGTGGCCTGAGGTGTCATAATCTCCTCTTGAGGGGTCATAGCCACACACAAAGAGCTCTCCAGTAATCATTTTACCCGCCGTGCCTTGTTGAGAGTTGAATTGACAGCCTACTTAATTTCCTTTGGCATATGCTTTTTCATATGTATTTTCTAAGCATTTATTAGAGAGGAAAGATCTCTGCCAGTTGAAGCTTAGAAGTCACTGTGATCACAGCTTACTTAGAAAACTAAGCATAGTAGGTACTCAAGACCTGCAGAGCTGTTCTAACCAGCACTGTTGGCTTCTCTCTTGCAGTCATGCCCGGTGTGCAGGTCTCGCGTGGAACATGTCCAGCACGTCTATCTGCCAACCCACACCAGTCTTCTCAATCTGACTGTTATCTAACATGTCCTTCATTGGTCGGACGCGCCACGTTTCCATGAACTGCACTATTGTAAACTATAAGAATGATAGTTTTGTGGAGAAAATAATTTCACTCCCAACACCCATCTGCCATACAACATTTAAACCACAAAGAAAAAAGAAGAAAAACAAGAATACAGCTACTCCTCACTGCAGAAACGCATCCATGCGTAGAGCTAACGGACCCACGGAGGGGACCATGGAAGAACTTCAGGCACACACTTCCCTTGGACTTTCATTTTTTTTATGATCAAATAAAGGGACAGGTAAAAATCTTTGTCAGTTAAGTGGCAACATAGCCAAAAAGTGGGTACCTTTTAGGAAATGATGTTGTAAGTCTCCATAATGTATCCCGAGGTAAGTTTCCTACCTGCAGCCGATTTTGTAAGTAGTTTTAGGAATTTACTTGGTTCTTTTTGTATGGTCATGAAGCACCGAACATTTTTAATAGGAAAATTTTTCTTAAACAGTTATCATTATAATGTCATTTCTGTCTTTGTAACATGTAGAAGAATGATCAGAACACAAACAGATTTAAACATCAATCCTGTGGTGGTGGCACACACCTGGAATCACAGCATTTAGGAGGCCAAGGCAGGAGGATGGAGAGTTCAAGGCCAGCCTAGGCAATTGAGCAAGCTCTTGTGTCCAAAATACAAAACAAAAAAAAAATGACTTTTAAAAGGTTGGCCCCAATGTTGTCAGATTTAAACCAGTCTGGCTAGGAGAAAGCAAATAATCCAGCAGTGAGGCTGTTCTTTTCCCGCTCTCTCTCCTGTGCCCCATGCTTTTCAGTTTGGAAGAAAGAGGTTAAAAGTAGCAGTGGGCAGGCATGTCTTGGGCTTTTTTGAGTTAGCAGAGTACTTTAAGACTAAAACGGGCAGGCATTTTCCTCAGGAATGGAAAGCCAGATCACTGAGTATGGGGCCTCTGGATGCCCACGTAGCCTTTCACACCTCCCGGGCACCTGACACTACCACCACCATGGGTACCCTGTGGCCAGAAAGATCAAACCTTTTACAGCCTTATCATAGGTTTCTAGGAATTGTCTGCTTTTTATGTGTGTGGTTCGGGTTTTTCGTGTGTGTGCGTGTATGTGTGCGCACGCATGTGTAAATGCTTAAATCTTTGGTTTCCCCTTCTGTGTCTTTCAGAGGGGCTTTGGTCCTTTTGTTCCTGTATTCTTACATTTTCCACTCTGCCTCGGGCATTTTGGAAGCTGGTCAGCTAGCAGGTTTTCTAGGATGTCAGGAAACCTGGATGACCTTATTGGGTGCAATACTAGCAAAGTTAAAGCTAGAAACCTACACTGTCACTTTACTGATTTCTGAGTATACTTTTCATATTGCCTTAATGTAGCAGTAATGTGTTATGCATTTGTTTCTTTGCACAGACATTTTGTCAAATATTAAAACTCTACTTTTTTATGGCACATATTAGCATATAAGCCTTTATTCCAAGAGGTATTTATTTTTTCACTTGTAAAAAAATAATGTTTCCACATAAAGAACTCTGTTATATCCTAGAGGACTTCTCTCTTTTATATTCAGGATAATAAAGACTTTAAAGCAAACATGGGTGTTTGTATTGTCACCACTATTATCATTTAAGCCAGTTTTATTCAGTTAAAACAAATGAGCAATAACATCAAGGTTGGTTTCTAATTTGGTCCTACGTGGAACATGTGAAAATGTTTAGGGTGTTTGGTCTAACTGGGACCATCTCACCCACTTTAGTTTCTCATGTGTTTTGGGGCCATGGGATTGGAAAATAATATAATACACACAAGCAGATGAAAAGTACAAATTAGCATCTTTTGTCTTAAAAACACAACACTTGTACCATAGGTTTGCCACCACTGGTCTAGGTGCTAGCAGGAAAGGTGTTAGACATGGCGTCTAGGACGCCTTCCTGCAGGGCTGCTGGCCTGCCCACACCAGGCCCAAATTGCTTTGTGCATGCCAGTGTGTGCACAGCTGTGTATGTCAGGAAATGCTTTGTGGAATAGAAAATATTGTACAGTATATGTCACTGATAACCTTTAATTTTTAAAAATTGGAAGACAGATTTGTTTTCTGTATGCCTGTATCTAAGCCATTTTCCATCAGTGCCTTGCAATTAACTCTTCTGTTCATTCAACACATTTGTTGAGCACCTACTAAGTTATTAGCCCTGGAATTTTTTTAAATAAGAAAAAAGAAAACTTACTACATGCCTAAAGCATGGAAATATTAGACTCCAGAACAGTAATGTAACAGTCATCAAGAGATGACTGAGCCAATGTCTATATTATATACTTAACTTGCAATGTGCACAAATATCTCTGTAGTAGTTAAATAGCATTAATATTTCTAGTATATGGCACTGTAGAGGAGATGCTATGGAGGCTATGTGATGTATTAATTATCTGCTTTGAGTCCGGGAGTGAAGGTTCCTCAGAAGAACCTTTGACTAGGGCCTTGACTTTCTAGTTGGGAAAAAAAAAAAAAGTGTGTGACTCATGCCAAGGCTAGAATGCAGTAGTTTTGGGGCTAGGCCAACCCCTGCAGTTCAGTGAAGTGACAAATTGGACTCTGGAGGAACGTGTAGTCACAGTGACGGGGAACTTTGAATTCCAGGTCACTTTGGACTTGGTACTTTGGTGTCTTCCCAGCAAGGAACCTTTGGAACAGAAGACCTAACACGGGGTGGACACGGGCAGGAAGAGAATAGAGGCAGTGAACTTCATTTTAATTACCTATTGGAGTAAAAAGAACGACAGTCAACAGATTCAATGTCTGATCAGCAGCAGCATTGACAAGTCATACAGAGATTCTGTCTTGGGCTAGACAGTCTAACCAAAGGACAGTAGGGGAGCAAGATTGGGGTTGGGAAGGAAGCTGCATTTGGTTTGGACATAAGGTATTTGAGATGCTTGGTAACAAGCAAGCCTGGAGTCCGAGGTTGGGAAAGAAGCATTTGGTAGTCACTCCTTTGATATTTGAAGACATGACAATATTAAAGTCAATATAGGAGGTGAAATAAATGGAAAAAAAGAATAAAGCTGAAGATGGATCCCTGAAGGAGCCTCCATCTAAAGTGGACATGAGACTAGGAAAGTATTTGAGAAAGAACATCCAACGGGATAAAAAACTAAGCCAGAAGACAACTTCCCAGAAGAAGCTGTTGATTCTGTAGGATTCGGAGTACTGAGATAAAATGTGGCAGAAGGGAAGACCCCAATCCTGAAAAAGTGTGGGTGTCTTCTGAGAAGTGAGGGGTTACTAGGAGTTACCAGACCATGCTGAGCTGAGTCTGAATGGGAGGCGAGGACAAAGAGGTGGTGATAAAATCAAGAAGTCGGTAGCAAGGAGGAGGAGGACCCTGGAGGATGTTGTGAATGGGAGGGAGAGATGGGCATAGAAGAGAGGATGAACAGTAGGAGTAAATGAAGAGCTTGGACCTTTCAAACTGGAGAGACAACCTCAAGAGGCTGCTCTGCCAAAGATACAGGCTTCAGGACTGAACAAATGCCTTCTTTCATCTGTCAAGAGGTGTAAAACTTACTAGTGAAGCTAGAAATGTTTTTCCCCATCCTGCCCCATTCCAGCATCTCAGTTTATCCTGTCACAAGATGGGGAACTTGGTCGCAATGCTGGCGAGTTCTAGAGGTTGTCCCCTTAACTGATGCTGAACACAGGATCACGATGTCTCACGGGAGCACACAAGGAAAGCATGAATGCTTCCAAGAAAAACTTGAAAAGATGCCCTGTAGAACAGAAGGCTGGGGGAAATTTCCAAACCCAAGCACTGGGGAAAATTCACAGGCAGGAGTCCCTGTGTGTGTGACCAAGGAGGGAGGAAAGCAAAGAGTGCTTGCAGGTCTAGAGGGCACAGAACAAAGTAGGAAGGTGGAGTTTTTAATAGTTTTGCAAGCAGCGAGAATAGATTCTAAGAGGAGTTTGAGCACAACCAGAATTTAAGACAAAATGCAGTCATTTCTGTCTTCTCACTGCTTTTATATTTAATGCTTTCTCACAGAAATCCTAAGACATTTGCAGATTACTATTATTCATATTTGGATGAGTGAGTTTATTAAAAAAAAAGAACTTCAAGATACTAAAGAGTGAGTCCTGTGGCTCATAAAAACAAAACTGTTAGGACCACACAAATTACAGATTTAGCACATTTAACAGTTGCCTAAAGAAAACATACACTTCAAGCAAAAGCTAAACATCTGTCTTTCACAAGGCTTGCAGTAGTGCTAAGGGGAAGAAAAACTTGAAAGGAGAAGCCCTCTCAGCAAACAAAAAGGTAATATTACAAACACTAAAAATAACATACACATGTAGTCTTGTATGAATGAATACAAGTAAATTGGAGAAGGCTTTCTGAAGGAGACAGGTGATCTTTGTCTTGAAGCACAGATTCTGGACTAATGAAAAGAGAAAGCATAGGAACGTGAAAGAGCTCATAGATCAGGAGCAAAGTACAAGATAAAGGAAGAAAGCAGCCGATCTGTAAAGAGACTTAGTGAAGATTTTGATTTCTTGATTAGTATGTAGAAGCTACAATGTATTGCTGGGCTTTTAATTTTTTTTGTAACAGTAAGTTTGCTATTTGTTTGATTCATTTGGCCTTTTACTGATTAATCTGAGCACTGATTTATTAGTTCTGCAATCACCTAGTATCTATGAGCCTCTCTGTTAGGACTAAGACTGTGGTTCTTGACTGGGACAATTTTGTCCCCAAGAGGCACTTTTGATTGTCACCCTGGAGTTATGGTTGCTATTCGCATTTAGTAGATAAAGGCCAGGATACTGCTAAACATCCTAAGGTGCACAGGTTAACACCCCCACCCCCACAGCAAACAATTTCCCAGCCTGAGATATCAGTATTGCTGCCATTGAGAAACCTAGATGGAGGGCAGTGTGTCTGACAGGAAGTCTCTGCCTTCTCTGGGACTCTGAGTGGAGTGCAAGTTAATCAATCCAGTCTACTACTTTTTATAATTGAAGCAGGTCCTGGGTACCACAGAAGAGCAAAAGAAGATGCCAGCAAATTTGCCTGGGCTCAGAAAGTCCCACTGGAAAGGAGACTTGAAAGATGAGCCAGAGCCTGCCAGGTAGGAAGGTGGGTGGGAGGAGCCCGCTAGGTCATGGGTTACATGAAAGCCACTGGGCAGTGTGGCATAACTGGACCACCCAGTACATGGTCAGATAAAAAGAGGAAAGGCATATGCGGGGATAGCAGGAGAGGGACTGAGAAGTAATGTTGGGAACTAACCCAGGAAGGTGACATAAGCCCTGCTACCCTACTCCCAGGAGTGAATAAGTGACCCCAAAGGCCTGTGCTAAAGGCTTGGTCTCCAGCCCATGTTGCTATGGTAGTGGGAGAAAAAGAACTTTTAAAATATATTTTAAAAATTTTATTAGTATGTGTTTGCAAT